AAACAAATAGCGCATTGAAAACAATCAGTCCTATATCAGGGCAGAAAGAGACAAAATGGCCAGAATCCCAGTGAGACACGCCAGGAAGAAAGCTCAAAGACCAGAACATTCAAACAAAGTCAAGTTTAGGATGACTAACTTTTTTCTTAAACTAGTGAACAACTCTTTGGCAAGAGTCAGTTCAGGAAATGGGGGGTGGGGGGAATCAAGCTGTTTTTGTTGAACATATTTGAATGATTGTACAATTAATACAACTTCTAGTATCAACATGTGGTATGATGAAAAACATGCCTGAGAAAATAGCTTCAGCTTTTACAATTTGTAGCCAATTACCATGCACGTGGGGAAAATGTTTTCCTGGATCTTGAAGTCAGAAAGGTCTTTGCCCCAGTCCATGTCTGATTGGCAGCTACATGCTGAGAAAGGACAGGTGGGCTAAGGAATGCCTATGGCCAGTTTGTATCAATGGCAAAAATGGCTTGTGTTCTTCTGTGTCAAGCCCTTTGGCTAGGTTCCAGCCTGTATCCAAATTGTGCATTTATGGGAATAGCTGAAAGGGACAGAAATCATCACAAAGAAATGTCCTTTTATGTGACAGTTATATGACTTTTTGGCTATGCTTTTCTCCAAATGAACCTATCACCTCATAGATATTAATTATCTACATCTGCTGCTATATCTGGTCTGTTTTATTACTAGGATGTACTGCTTGTTTACCTTTGGAACTTAAAACTCCTTGGTAAATAAAGCACCACACCCCCCCAAAAAAATTTTAAAAATCATGGGTTTTGTCTTTATTTTGGGGGGAGGGCTCATTGAGTTTTAAAATTTTTATTTAGAAAGGTGCTTTTAATTTATTCTACTCTTCTACACAAAACCTATTAAAGACTTCATGATTGAAAATCCAACAAAGCAAGATATGAAATAGTATTTATTTGCTTGGCAAGAAGTTAAACTGCAAGCTTAGAAGAAGAAAGAGTACACTTGGAGGGGCTAGGATATGTATGCTGTGTTCAGATTTAGTACTAGTTCATGACACTAGATACCATGACGTTTGACACTTAGCATTTTCAAGTATCATTTCAGCCATCACTAGCAAGGATAGCAGGAATAAACTTACCCCATAGTCCCCATGCCCCTAAAAGGGCTCCATTTTTTAAATATCTAGAGAAGGAACAGCATCATTTCAATCTTACTTTTGAGGAAGTAAGGTGACATTTAAAAAGAAACAATGTATCAATCAAGGTCAGGGTTGGCAAGGCTATCACATTTTAATGAAATGCCTGCAGTAAGCCTGCTCTGGGAAAACTCATTTGGGGATCTGCTTATAAATTTCAGAATTCAAAGCACCATAAAGCCCTAAGCACCATACACATTTTGGAATCACATAAAGGACCAACCTGTAAAGGATCCAATGTCAGATATTCAGTGATATACAACCAACCAGTTAAGGGATTTTAAACAAGCAGGTGTTTGTGGCTTAACAGCATGCTCTCATGGGCCAGCACAGTATAACAGGGCATAGTTCTGAACCTCTTCTTTCTCATGGACCTCTTTGGCAATTTGGTAACACCTATGAAACCCCTTCTCAGAATCATATTTTTAAATGCATAAAATAAAGCTTATAGGATTGCAAAGGAAATCAATTCTACTGAAATATAGTCAATAAAAAAAGAACCCTGCTGTAGAGGGAAAAGAACACGAAACATGGTCAAGCAGACCTGGTTTCAAGTCACTTAATATCACTGACATTCAGTTTCCTCAGCTGTAAAACAAAGATAATGCTAGTTGTAACTGTCCCATAGGATTGTTTTAATCCTGAATGTGTTTGCTGAATAACTGTAAATGAAAAATAAATTTTGAAAAATCACTTTGCAAACCTTAAAGTATACTACAAATAACAATTATGATTACAGAGAGGAAGTATGGGGAAGTAGAAAAACCATAGGATTTAGGAGTCAGGAGAGAGCTGAGTCCAAATCCTGCCTTTGGCACTTACTAGTTCTATGACCACAAGAAAAAAAAAAGTCACTGATGTTCACTGACTTCAGTTTCCTCAAGTGTATAGTGAGTTTGAGAGCAATGCCTATAACATACTTATCTCTCAGATTTTTCATGAGGATAAAATGAGATAATGTATGTAAAGTACTTTGCAAACCTTAACCACCTATATAAATATCAGCTATTATTATCATAATTACTGCTCTTCAGGACTGAGGATTATAAGCAGCATGTGTGATTGCATTACACAGTACCATGAAGAAACAAAAATACACACAGTTGCATAAAGATATAGGGTTCCTACGTGCCAACTCAAGGCAGAGGGCAAAAAAGACAGTTCATCTATAACCTAGTTAACACTCCAAAAAGATAGTGCACAAGTAGCCAGTGGGATTTATTTTGGTCTCAGCCTCCAAGTTATGTTCCAGTTACCTTTTACAGTGGGAAAATGTAGCACTGGCCTTCAAAATTTTGAGACCAGGCATTCAACTGACATAAGAACAGGGAGAAGAGCCTAGCACCAAGATCTCATGGAATGAAGGCAATGCAGTGAAGCAAACAGGCCTAATTATCTATCTACCCCATGACTTGAGATTACAACAGGTACATCTCCTCATAGTTTTTCATTACGAGACTATGTGGTATCTCCATGGATTACCCAAAAGAACGGGTTCATAGCAAAAAACAACAGCAACTATTTTAAAAACAAAAGCAGCACAGGAAAAACTTTACAGTTTTCCTACCCCCGGAAGCAGCCTTTATTTCTATACAAAAAAATTAAGAAAAAAATATAAGTAACTGAATCTTTGAAAGAAAAGGGGGAGGACAGAGCCAAGATGGCAGGGTAAAAGCAGTGACTTGCTTGAGGTCTCCTCCAAACCCCTCCAAATATCTGTAAAAAATGGCTCTAAACAAATTCTAAAGTGTCAGAACCCAAAAAAAGACAGTGAAACAAATTTACAGCCCAAGACAGCCTGGATGGTTGATTGGAAAGGTATATTGTGCTGAGTGGGGAGAGGAGTGCAGTTTGACGGGGGCGTACAGGAAAAACAGGGCTCAGTGAACCTAGAGCAGCCCTTAGAGGACTGAATCATGGGCAGCTGTGGCAGTTTCCAGACTTCTCAACCCACAAACACCAAAGACAACTTAGAAGGTCAGTGGGAAAAGTCTATGTCTGCCTTGAGAGAGAGAAGTGCAGTCCCAGCCCCAGTCCTCATGCAGAGCCCCAGGGCGGCAGCTGTTTCCTGAGCTTCCAGTGCACAGACTAAGGAGGAATTGCGTGGCTGATCAGAGGGGGATTGCAGGGATCTCTTTGCCAGTGCTGAGGCAGGAATCTCTTGCTTTGCCTGTGCTTGGATCTGGGTCACAGTTCTAGGTGATGGCCCTAGGGGCTCGGAGCAGTGCTGGAATGGCAGAGCTTGTAGTGGCAGTGTAGAAGGAATCCTCCTCACAGTTCCAAGGCAGAAAAGAGTGCTTGTGGTCACTCATAGACCAGAGCACAGGGCAGGAAAGGAGTAAATACCTCACCCTTGATCACAGCACCTTGGAAGAACTGAAAATTTACAGGTCCCTAGAAGTATCTCTGAAAACAGCTGCACAAAACCCCCAAAGCTTGAGACAGTACATTCTCCACACTAGAAGCAGATCCTACCTTAACAAAGAGTTTATAACTCAAGTAATTGGCTGGGATCATGAGCAAGCAGCAAAAGAGTCAGACCATAGAATCTTACTTTGATGACAAAGAAAATCAAAACATAAAACCAGAAGAAGACAACAAAGTCAAAGCTACTATATCCAAAGCCTCCAAAAAAAATATAAATTGGTCCCAGGCCATGGAAGAGATCAAAAAGGATTTTGAGAAGCAAGTAAGGGAAGTAGAGGAAAAACTGGGGAGAGAAATGAGTGATGCAAGAAAATCATGAAAAACAAGTCAACAGCTTGCTAAAGGAGACCCAAAAAATACTGAAGAAAATAACACCTTAAAAAATAGCCTAACCCAAACGGCAAAAGAGGTCCAAAAAGCCAATGAGGAGAAGAATGCTCTAAAAAGCAAAACTGGCCAAATGGAAAAGGAAGTCCAAAAGCTTACTGAAGAAAATACTTCCTTAAAAATTAGAATGGAGCAATTGGAAGCTAGTGAGAAATCAAGACACTGTAAAACAAATCTAAAAGAATGACAAAATAGAAAACAATGTGAAATATCTCATTGGAAAAACAACTGACCTGGAAAATAGGTCCAGGAGAAAGAATTTAAAAATTATTGGACTATCTGAAAGCCACGATCAAAAAAGAGCCTAGACATCATCTTTCAAGAAATTATCAAGGAAAACTGCCCTGATATTTTAGAACCAAAGGGCAAAATAGAAATGGAAAGAATCCACTGATCACCTTCTCAAAGAGATCCCCAAAGGAGAACTCCTAGGAATATTGTAGCCAAATTCCATAGTTGCCAAGTCAAGGAGAAAATTTTGCAAGCAGCCAGAAAGAAACAATTCAAGTATTGTGGAAATACAATCAAGATAGCACAAGATTTAGCAGCTTCTACATTAAGGAACCACAGGGCATGGAATATAATATTCCAGGAAAGAAAAGGGGCCAACCTTATAAATGTGGCCTTAGAGTACTCTTTATTTCCCCCATCCTTCCCCCTTCTCACAAGGGCAAGTACATGGAAGGTAAGCATGTTTGTGTGAGCTAGACAATACCTAATAGAAAAATCCCTGGCACTTCTAAATGGAGGTCTTTTAAAGCAAAAGAACTCAAAACAAAACCTCAGTAGTAAAATTATTTCAGATGTTGACTTTCACATCTAAAAAAAAAAAGCACATACAGACCTGAAGCATCATTAATACTGTACTCTAAATTAATGCTTCCAAATCAAACTGAGAAGTCCTTGACAGTAATTTCTAAATAAACCCATTAGCTTGCACACTCCCTATATACAGTACTTTAACAGTCTGAAGTTTCGTATTTTAATCAGCAAATGTATAATTACTTACTTTCTTCCTTCTGTAATGAGCAAACTGAGAGAGGCCTAGCACAGTGGCAAGTGCACCTCCTCCAACCAGAGCTGTCCCTTTGATAGCTTGTTGAAATGCCATTTCTTAATCTATTAAAAGATAAAGAAACAAGAAAAAATAAAGTTAATTTTTACAAGGAAAATCCAAAAAGTAAGAAGCAACTGTGAAAAATACAAAAACTAATTCACAGCAGAGGAAAAATATATAAAATGAAAAAGCTGAGACTAATGATACAATCAGATGCAAATTGTAATTCAAAATAGCTTCAACCATCATAGAGGCTAACTTTTAATTTAAACAAAATAAATATAGATTTATCCAGTTTAACTGCTCCAGGACTCTTAAAGATGGTGAAGAGGTAAATTATAGTGGTTTTGATAAAATGTCGTCTTATCCTTTAGAATTTGTTCCACAGCTTACTCCATTCCAAGAAGAGACTTAGCAAGTTTCTGTTGTCACTTAACTAAACAAAGATCTTACAGCTTCTTCCTCTCTGGCAAACTTCTCAGCAAAGTTCAATGGCTCTCTTGAGAATTTTTACTTCCCAGTCAAGGCCCACACACTATGCTTATATTCCCGAAAGTGAGACTAACAAAGATCAAAACAAGAAAGGAAAGGGGTGGAAGCTAAGGAAATAATTCCTTGATCCTCCCAAAGACTGACAAACATCACAATATGGTAGTTATGATAGTCAGCTAGACGACTTTCCATTCCAGCATTGATTGTGTGAGAGATGATCTCTCAGAAGTGAAGCCTCCTCAAAGGGTCATTAGTTCTTGTTAACGGTTCTGGTATGGTTGCTTTTGAGTGGTACATGTGTATCAACACTAAGTAAAGACCCCTTAGAATACAAGACCCCCTCCCCTAGCCTTCTCCCTCCCCTACTCTTAGATAGTATTAGCAGAAATTCCTGAGCCGTAAGAGAATCCTGTCTATCTCATCCTCTAGCTAGTTATATGACCTTGGGTAAAAGGCTGCTGAAACTGTGACACCCTGAAAAGGGGAACATGCTAACATAATTTCTATACCTCTTTGTTCTCTCTGTTACTGGGGTAGTTTTTACACGAATAGATTGTACACCTGAGGCTCAGCCAATGAGCTGACAGGAAGGGGGTTAGGGTGGGTTGCTGCATGAGGGTCTATATAATCTTGCCTTAAACAAAGAGTACTCACACTCTTGGGGAAGCTTAGACAGCCCGGTGGTACCCTTTCTGAGAAAATCAATAAAGACATTTCTCCTTTTTGCAAACTTTTGTCAAGACTCTGGTTTTTAATTTGGGTAGGTGGTCTCTGTCCCACACAATTGATTACTTGGTTTTAGAAGAGGAATAAGGCTATTATGATAATGTCAAGGAAATATCTTCCAGTTAATTGAAATGTATTTCTTCCTGACTATATCTGTCTGAAAATTAGCTTGGATATTTTGAGTTTAAGCTCATGAATTTCACTTTTTCTAATTAAAAATGTTTCTACTTCTAGATAACTGTATTTACACAGGTTTTAGTTTATTTCCCAGCAATTTAAATATATGTAAGATATATGTATTTATATATGTATGTGTGTATATGAGAGTATGTATATGTATACATATAGGCATATGTACATGCATGCATATATACACATATATAATCCATCTATTTATACTCTAATTGCTGCCTGTGGCATCTTGGGCAAATCATTTTACTTCTCTGGCCCTAAGTTTCTTTATCTTTAAAATAAGGGGGTTGAACTAGATGATCTCTAGTTCTAAATCCATAATCCTATTAAAATTATACAATACGTAAATGAAAGGGGAAAAAATCTCAAGACAAAATTTTTGCCAACTGCCCTTTCTATCTCCCTCCCACTCCTACACTCCTCAACACTGCCTTGCATATTGTAAACATTTAATAAGTACTTATTGTTGCTCAAGAGATCATACATTCAGTGACTAAATGTACTAACAGATCTTAGAAATATTGAGACTAGTTACTCCTAGCTCCACAATAGATTCCATAATGATGGTGGCTGGTACACTCATTTCTTACAGAGCCCACTTTAGATAGCCCCCAGGGGAGAGATCACAAGATCATCAGTCTAGAAGAAGAAGGAACCTCAGAGAATCACCTACTCCAAACTCCTCCTTTTATAAATGAGAAAACTGAGGCCCAGAGAAGTTACTTGCCCCAAGTAGCAGCAAAGCCATCATTCAAACTCAGTTCCCCAAGTCTCTTACCACTACACCACTCAGTCTAAACCTGCTTTGTACCTTCCAGTGAGCTCACAACTGAGCTAATGAGAGATGTATGTCACATACATAGTTTCACACTTTCGGCCCTGAACAGTGATAAGATATTCCCCATTTCCCCATCCCCACCTAATACATGGAGTACTCTGGGAAATCTATAGTGTGCTCAGGTGTTTTACCTGTCTTCCCCTTTGCATACTGAGTATTACATAATTTTTAAAATTTTATTTGCCACACACATTAGATAAGCACAGTATGGTTATTTAAAAAACACTGCCGAGGTAAAATAACTTTTGAATCTCTTGAATTTTATATTAAAAAGGATAACAATGCTTCATTTCCTTAAAATTGCATTTTACCTCTTCCCTTTACTCATTGTGGAAAACTCCCTCAGACAAAAGCGTAACTACTTTCTCTCTGTTCATTTTTAAATAGAGTGTTTTGTGTATTTTGGAAGAAGCTCCCAAGAAGGAAGAGATCATAGGACATCTCCTATATATGCCTCCAGGGAGCATTCTTCTTCACCAACCCTTTTCTTACCAAAGGTTCACTCTCTCCGCACCCCTATATTCAGGAAGAATGGCCAGAGTTTACTAAGTACCACATTAATCCCTGAACACAGACCTATTACCCAAAGCTAGTCTGACATGAAGGCCTTGTGGGAAGCTCACACTTCACTAAGTATTTACAGAATTACACCCTGCTTTGAGAAAACCTGCACTGTGAGTTTCCTGGACCCTTCCCAACCACCTGCTCTTAACAAAGGATACTAGTCTATTCTATTTAACTAACCAAATTATCAATTAAAGTACTTGCCTCAGAGAAATAAGCCTAGTAGCCCCATGGACATTTGCCTCATGGCTGACTGATTTTTAACTCAGAAGAATTCATTCTGTCATGTCAGTGTTATCACTGGTGACATCACAAAGGCAGCAACACATTTCACTTATCTGATCTGATAAGTAGGGCCTATATAGTCAAGTGCGTGAAAATGTTCCAGGCCTGTATTCTTATCAGGATAATGTAGACCCCTGAGTCCATTACCTTTGCCAATCTGATTTGTCTGACATCAAAGTTACTAATGGTATATCTCATAGGCTGTGTTAATGATTTTCCTCCCCCCTCCTCTCTACCTCTTAATCCAGGAAATTTAAAATACTGAACCAAATTTTGACTTCCCTAGGTTTTGAAGGGCTTTTATTTGTTATAACATTAGACTGCATGCTCCTTGAGGGCAGGGGTTGTCTTTTGCTTCTTTTAGTATCCCTAGCACTTAACACAGAGCCTGGAACATAGCAGATGCTGGACAAATGTTTGTTGATTGATTGACTATAAAGATATACTATAATTTCCAATTAATTTCTGTGAAATAACCTATTTAAAGTACTACCTCTTGTAACTCAAAGTTCTCACATAGGTCATCGTTTAATTAAAAACTAATATTACAGATGATACAAATGATAATCAGGCAGAAATTCTCTGAAATGTTTAAAATCCACCATGCTCTCCTTCCACAAGCCCTGACCTTCATCTTTCTTCCTCCTTCTCCAAAAAGGAAATAAATATTTTGGCTTTCAAATCCAACCCTGAATTGGATGTCAGTCTTGTCCATTGAGCTTCTCTAAGAAAGTGAAGAAAACCTTGGCAAAGCAGCAGCCTAGTGCCCCAGCATCAGGAAGTTAATAAAGAAACTTTGTCAGAAGTGATTTTTAAAACCACAGTAAGCATGAACCACACATTGCAGGCTACATGCAGGCATTGATACTCAATGCTAAGCAAAGTTCTCCCCCCTCTCCTGATTACACACCCTTCCTTAATCCTAAACATTATACTTTCAGTTAAAGTCATAGTAGAGTAGGGTACCCTGTAGATTATGCACATTGAAAATTTTGAATTTTTCAAGGAAAATCTTGCTCTACTCTTCTTACCTCAAGGCCCTTTCACTGATGTTATCACACAAGGAGACAGAGCAATAATTTTCCAGCAGTATCCACAATATCAAGCTATCTATAGAAAGGTCCCCAGGATCACAAAAGTGGATTATACGGAAGATACAGATATGTCACAAAATGGGCAGGTATGTATTGGTTAAGATCTGGATTGCTAAAGGGCATAATCACAATGATGAGGACACACAGATCCATTAAACTATAGGAGTATCATTACCTATTTATTCATCTAGCAAAGGACAGAATCGAGAAGGAAAAAAAAGGAAAATCAGAGAAATAGAAAATATATAGGGCTAGTATGCTTAAGGCTGCTCTTTCATATTAGACAGAGGGGATGTGCTCATAAACAGTGTGGAATGAATTACAGAGAAGAATGGAGCAGTGGGACAGAACACAGATACTGTACTGGTTTTAGAGGAACACTGAATTAAAAGTGAAAAGAGTCCTTCCTGTTCACCTCTGTCAGAAGTGTTTAACCAGCATCCATAGATAGAATTTAAGGAGTCCATGAATAGGAATAAGGAGGGGAAATTGCATCTTTATTTTTACTAACCTCTAACTGAAATTTAGCATTTCCTTTAGTTATTTAAAAAACATTATTCTGAGATTCACAGGCTACACCAGACACCCAAATGAACCCATAACACAGAAGGAAGGGGGAAAAAAAGGCTAAGAATCTTGCTCATTTAATGATGAAGGAACTAAGCCCCAAAGAGATTAAATAACCCCAAAACCACTCAAGTAGTGACTCAAATTCAAAAGTCTAAAATGGAAACTAATTATCTTTACCCCACCCCCAAACCCACCACTCTTCAAGAAAACTAAATGGTTCAGAGAATAGAGTGTTGGACTTGTGGTCTGGAAGACTCCAGTTCAAATTTCACCTCAAATGCTTACTAGCAGTGTGAGCCTA